TGTGATTCTCTGATATCTTGTATGTTTTTACAATATACAATATCTCCAGGTTGGACAGGGCATTTTAATAACTGCAGAACCACGCCGTGGCCTGGACTTTAAACCTTAACCCCCTTCCATCTTCCCTGCGTGACTCACGAGGATGGAACAACGTTGCGTAATCCCGGTTTCGCTTCCCCCAAAAAAGACTTGACGGCTCTCCCTCTGTCCCTCTGTCCCTCTGTCCCTCTGTCCCTCTGTCCCTCTGTCCCTCTGTCCCTCTGTCCCCCCAGAACGTGGTGGACAGGAAGCCCTACCCGGACGACGAGAACCTGGTGGAGGTGAAGTTCGCCAGGACCCCCGTGATGTCCACGTACCTGGTGGCCTTCGTGGTGGGCGAGTACGACTTCGTGGAGGCGCGATCCCAGGACGGGGTCCTGGTCCGGGTCTACACCCCCGTGGGCAAAGCGGAGCAAGGAAAGTTTGCCTTGGAGGTAAATGAGCTCAGGGGGGCCTGGGGTCCAGGAGGGATCCCTGGACACGCCTCTGCTCTGGTCACTCTGCTCTGTCGCCCAAATCCGTGGGGTTTGTGGGTGTTTTTAGTGGCTCGAAGAGGCTGAGCTCCATATTAACCAGAATTTCAGCTGTGGGCAAACCAGTGTCTGCAGTGACCAAACCACGGGGTTTGGCTCAGTTCTGATTTGCTTTTATGGCTTAAAGAGTTTGAGTTTGATATCAAACAGAATTTCAGTTGTGGACCAATGTCTGCCGTGACCAAAACACGGGGTTTGACTCAGTTCTGATTTGCTTTAATGGCTTAAAGAGTTTGATATCAAACAGAATTTCAGTTGTGGACCAATGTCTGCAATGACCAAAACATGGGTTTTGACTCAGTTCTGATTTGCTTTAATGTGCACAAAACCTGAACAGGTTGGACAAACCTGGTGGTTTAAAAAAATGTATGTATAATAAATAGTGATAAGTGTATATGATATGTGTAAAATATATAAAAATAATAAATATAAATAATATATGTAATAAATCTTGGCATATGTCAAACCACGTGCTGGTTGATTAAGAGTGATTAAGAGCTTGAGTTTGATATCAAACAGAATTTCAGTTGTTGACCAATATCTATAATGACCAAAACGTGGGTTTTACTCAGTTCTGATTTGCTTTTTCAAAAAAACTTGAGTTTGATATTAAAGAGAAGTTCAACTGTGGTCAAACCAACGTCTGTAATGACCAAAACATGAGGTTTTAACTCGGTTCTGATTTGCTTTGGTGGCTCAAAGAGACCGAGCTCGTTAAAGAGAATTTCAGTTGTGCACTAAAGCAACGACCAAAACAGGTGGGTTAACTCAGCTGAGTCAGTTCTGATTTGCTGATTCTCTGATTAAAGTTCTGATTTGAGGTTCTGACAAAATTCTGATGAAATTCTGATTTCTGCTGAAGTTCTGATTTGCTGATTTCTGGTGAAGTTCTGGTTCTCTGACCTCGACTTGGGCCCGAAGATGATGAGAAGTCCTGGAGGGTGGAGACAGCCTGGGGGAAAACAGGGATGGGGAGTCTTCCAAACCATTGTGCTCTGGGAGTGGGGCTGCTGGAAGAAATCTTTGTGCTGCTTTCTTAGTTTCAATCATGAATTCTCCAAGTTTCCCCCAGTTCCAAGTTAACAGGACATTTCTCCTCTTATTTCTTACAGGTTGCTGCTAAAACTCTGCCTTTTTATAAGGACTACTTCAATGTTCCTTACCCTCTTCCTAAAATTGATCTCATAGCTATTGCAGACTTTGCTGCTGGTAAAGTAACTCACTTTATTGATGAACTGTATTTAATTTGAATTTTAAACGTTTAGGAAGAGGTGTGTGTATCAATATCAATAAACCTTTGTATTTATTTTATAAAGGTGCCATGGAGAACTGGGGCCTTGTTACTTATAGGTATGCTGTTAAAATACTGTCTTTCCCCCTCTTTGTTCACTAATTCTTGGAATAACTGGATTAGCTTTAGGGAGCTGTAATTACTGGGTGTCATCCCAAATGAGACAGAGTAAATACCTTCAGTTCTTGCTTCAGTTTGGATAATTGTGGTGGCGTTGAACAGCTTAGGAAGGCAAAACATCAGCTCTTGCAGGTGCTGTCCAAGGGTGTGAGGTTTTTAAGTGTCTGGCAGCACTGCCTGTTCTGCAGGAAAACTTTCCTGGCCCCTTTTTTTTTCCCCCTGTAAAAAACTCACTGGCACAGCTGGAAGAGTTTCTCCTTTTACCTCGTGGGCAAGTTGGTAAATTTAACACCCACAGAGTAACCGTGTGGAGATGAGCAAATCAAAAACATTAACTCGCCTTTCTTTTCAGTTTGATTTTTTTCTTTTCCCCTCCTTCTGATCAAGTACTTTTGGCTTGACATCATTCCATTGTCCATGCTCGTTGTCCCAACGATTTCCCTGCATTTTGAAACAACCTGTAAGCTCTGGACCCGAAATCCTGAAATGGTTTCAATTCCTTCTGCTCGAGCTTTTCATTTGGCCTCAAAAAATGGACCCAGAAATTAGAGCCCAGGTCTCAAATCTGTTTGTCTTCTCATTGCAATTCTGATGAAATCTGATATTTTGCTCCCTGTGGAAAAGAAAAATACGTGTATTTGTCCTGGATGAGGGGAATTTTTGGAAGCTTAACGGTGCTGTTCATTTTCCCCCCCTTATGCTGAGTTTGGGTTGGCTCCATCCCTTTGGGAGGCACCAGCTGAGGTGCTTTCCCTGGAATTACAGCATTCCAGGGGTTTTTAAGAGACCCCCCAAAGCCCTGCTGGGGGCTAGGGGAAGGTTTGTGCCTGGCTCAGGGAGCACAAGTGGAGAAACTTGTGTAAGACATCTTGGAAGAGCCAGAATTCCTTAGGGAATGAGGGAGGCAGGGCAGACGTGCTGTGCATCCCTCCTGCAGTTGAGGTTCTTAGGTTATGTAGGCGAGCTGGCTGATAAATAAAGGATGAACTTTTACTCCTGCCTGGCTTTTTCCACTTGTCTTCTTGCATGCCATAAGGAATTCCTGCTCCAAAGCATTCCAAAAGCTGTGGAACTTCCCAAATGTCTACGCTGAAGTAGCTTTTGGGTTTGGTTTTTTATTATTATTATTATTATTTTTTCAGTCGTGCTGATCACTTTTTAGCTTATTTAGGTGATTTAACCTGCTTTTGACTGTGTTTTTTTTCCCCTGGGCTCATCCACCCCCTGGCTCAGTTCTCCCTCTCTCTCCACCACAGGGAGACAGCTCTGCTCATTGACCCCAAAAATTCCTGTTCTTCATCTCGCCAGTGGGTTGCTCTGGTTGTGGGACATGAACTGGCTCATCAGTGGTTTGGAAACCTTGTGACCATGGTATGTAACAGCTACAAATCCTGTGGAACAGCTACAAATCCTCCATGCCCAAATGTGTTTGAGTGCCCCCAAACAGCAGCTGGGCGTCTTTAAATGAATAAATGTCATATTTAAGCCGTGCTTTATTCCCACTTTGTTCTTTACATTCCTAGGTCTTTTCCAGGTGAATTAATCTGGAGTTGTTTGGGTGTGGCCCTTGTTAGAATTTAGCAATATTCCAGTGTTTTCCCTTCAGCTGGGAATGATCCACCTGTCAGGCTTTATCCCAAGCAGTCCCAGCTCATTCCAAATCCTTGCAGCTGAAAAGTCCCTCAGTAGTAACTCCTGTGAATTCCTTGGGATAAACGTGGAGCAAATGCCCAAATGGTTTGGAATTTAACTCATTTTAGTGGGAATAAAACCACGTGGGAGGCAGCAAGAGTGAAAACCTGTAAAGAAATTCCATTTAGTGCTCAAACCAACCCTGGACCTGTCAGAGCTTCTGCTGGGAACAAATGGCTCCAGCTCCCCCTGGGAATTGGATTTGACATTCCTGTTCCAATCCCTGCTGGAATCCAAATATCTTGCAGGTTCTGAAGTTCTTTTTTTAATAAGAAATTAGTGTTTGGTGAAAAAAAAAATCTTCACTCTTTAAACTGTAAGTGAATGGAGGGGGAAACAAACCCAGCGTAAATATGAATTTTAGTATTAATTTTAATGTAAATTAAACCAAAAAGCAGAGTTTGGGAGACTTTTCTCCAGGGCCATGGAGGCAGTTCTGCCTGTGGCAGCTTCCATGTGAGAGCAGCACAGTGTTTGCAGGGAAAAGCAGTAGTGAAGTGGTGTATTTTTAGCTGTCAGTGGAGTTGAACAGCTGGAAGCAGGGAGAGCCAGCATCCTGTGACAGCCTGTGGGATGCCAGGAAATGCTCACACTCCATTAGTGACCACAAACCTGTTGAGAACTGGGGACAAAAAGGGCTGAGAAAGTTCACAAAACCCTCTAAAACATACATTAAATCAGCTTTTTCTTTTCCTTTTGAAGCTCTAGCTCTTCCCAAAATTTCCTTTAAGAGCTTTCTTGTTGGTTATTATCTTCTGTGATGCAGCTCTGCAATAGGAAAAGGCATTCCAGTGTTAGATAATTCCAAGAAAATCAACTTTGCCTCCTCTCTAATGAGGGGAACGGAGCAGAAAACCTCAGTGGCATCTCAATATCCCAATTCTTCTGATAAATAAGAACTCCAGGTGTGTGAAGAATTCCTGGGTGTGCTGGAGCCTTGTCTGGGAAACAGGTGCACCAGAGATGTAAAAGAAAATTGGGTGGTCTTCACTCCAAAAATAAAGCAGTGGAGTTTGTCACAGCTTTCCCTGTGGAAACTCCACCCTCCCAGGGGGCAGTGGTTCATTCAGAGGAGAAGCAGGAGGTTTTTGGGACTGGATCCTGTCCAGCTCCTTGTGCTGAGGGAGCAGTGGCACTCGGAGTTACCCACCCCTTTTGCATTTAAAATGGGTGGTGAAAGCATGGAAAAGGGTCTTTCCTTCCTCAGTAGCCTTTTTCCTTACCTTTTCTACTTCACTTAAATATTAAATACTAATACTAAATACTAATATTCAAGTGAAAGGCAGAATTTTAAAATGTCACTGTCACATTCTTACCTTTAAAAAACCAAATCCTGCTTTTGGCTGGTGAAGAACAACTTTTGAACTGCTCACCAGGCTTCAGGTTTCCATAATTCAGGATATTTCTCGAGATTCCAGGTTTTCCTCCTTAATGTAAGGAAAAAAAACCAAACCAACAAACCCCAAACCAACTCTCTGTCCCACAATTTGGGGAAGAAAGACCCCGTTGTGTCCCCGCAGCTTTGCTGCCTCACGGACCTGCAGCTTCGCCTGGTGCTGGGTTTTCCCTAATCCAGGCTGTTCCACAGCTCTGCTCTGACCTCTAGTCCAGGCTCTGGGAATTTCTCCTCCATGTAAAGTTCCTAAAACTTAAGGGGAAGGCAGTTTTTGGGTGCTGGTGGCTCTTCTTGCCCCGCTGATTCTTCAGAGAGGTGAATTCGTGCTCACAAGCGACGCCTCTCTGCTCTGCAAACTTAATTTTTTGCTGCCAACTTCTCGCTGTTTAATGGAATTTTGGCCTTTCCTTTGCCTTCCCAGGAATGGTGGACCCACCTGTGGCTGAATGAGGGCTTTGCCTCATGGATTGAGTACCTGTGTGTGGATCACTGCTTCCCAGAGTACGACATCTGGACCCAGTTTGTCTCTGCCGACTACACACGGGCCCAGGAGCTCGATGCCTTAGACAACAGCCACCCCATTGAAGTGAGTCCTGCTTCCCCTCCTGCCTGTCTCCCTGGTTTTTATTAGCCCCAGGACAAGATTGTTTCCTGGTAATTAAAAAGGGAACTTTGTAGTCATTCCTGCCACAGAGGGAAAGCTGGAGTTGTGGTTACACCAAGGGGATTTCCCTCTACTTCCCTCTGCTTCCCTCTACTTCCCAAAGAAAACTCCCTTGTAATTCTCAGAGATGGAGTGTTCTGATGGCCCAAGAAGTGTTTGATGGAATAAATGTTGGGAAATGACCTTACTTTGTGCAGCAGTTCATTGTAGAGTGATTTACTCCCTGTGTGGTGTTCACTGTCCCTGGGTTGAACAATTTCCCCTGGTTTTATCACTTTGGGACAAGTGTTGAACCAAAAGATTGAAGGAAGAACCCCAAATCTATTAGATTTAACACCAAAACCTAACTCAAAGTGTGTTTAACTTCTAAACCCAGCCATACCTGAGTAAGTTTAATTAGCTGGGTGCAGAGATCCCCTGAGACAACCCAGTGCTGGGTGTGCACGTGCCTTCTCTGGGAGAAAAGTCACCTCCCAAACTCTACAACAAACAAAATCCAGCCTTCTGGCAGCTGAAATCCCTCTCATGGGAGTCCTCTCCTGTCTCCCCCAGGTCAGTGTGGGCCATCCCTCCGAGGTGGATGAAATATTTGATGCCATTTCCTACAGCAAGGGAGCCTCCGTGATCCGGATGCTGCACGACTACATCGGGGATGAGGTGAAGGGATGGGGCTGCAAAAGCCACCTGGGCCTTTCCAGATCTTTCTTGCAGTTAAAACCAATGATTTTTAACTGCAAGAAATGATTTTTTTTTGATAACAAAAAAAAAAAAAATTGAATCTGTGCATTCCATGTTTGGAAAAATTCTCCCAGTTTGTCCGGGCTCTGTTGGGATTAACCCGGGAGAAATGGGATAATGGGGAATACAGCAGGAATTGTAGCACTGGTTGTAATTGTCCCTGGCTGATTCCTGGGTGTAAGGGTGGCACGGAGGGAGGTGCCCTGACATATCCCATTGTGTGTTCCCAGGATTTCAGGAAAGGCATGAATTTGTACCTGACCAAGTTCCAGCAGAAAAACGCTGCCACAGGTAACTGGGGTCACTTGGGGGGAAAAAATTGGAATTTCTGGAGTCCAGCCCTTCAGTGCTGAAGGGATGAATCCTTAAACAGCCTTTTTTTCCACCTGAGACAGCTGAAATCCCAGGAAACAACTGGCTGGTTTCCACTTTCGTGCCCCTACCCAGCCAGGATTGAGCACCCTTAGGGATTTTCTGCCCAGGGAACGAGTGGCTGAGGTGATGTGAAAGGGCTGATTTACCCTTTGCCACATTTGCACAGTCATGGAGTTTAGAAACAGAGCCTTTGCCTTGCCAAGTGAGCCTTTTGCAAGCTCCCTTTTGCAGTTATTGATCGTGTGTGTGATTAAACAGGTCAAAGTCTCGTCCAACGTTCCCCCAGCACGTTCTTTGCTTAAACCCTTTTGTGGATCAGGCAGAAATGTGCAAGTGGAACATCAGGCTCTGGCAGCCCGTGGTGTTTGCTCAGCAATTTTGACATAATATGTAAAAAAAACTAAAGGGAAAGATGGCACTATTTGAATATTTAATGTTATTTTTAAGGTATTTTTTCACAGTGTGTGAAATTGCTGTATTTTTTGGTAGTAGAGAAGCTGTTCTTCCCCTCTCTCCCCCATGAGTGGTTTAAACTATTTCCTTTTTCTTGCCTCTCCTCTGTTACAATTCAATAAAAACACAACCCAAAGCATAAAGACAAACTGGAGTAAGAGCCCACCCTCCCCTATCATGTCCTTATAAATATATCTGGCCACACTCAGACTCTGGGAGTGCTGAGTCAGACTTTTCTCCTGCAGAGGATCTCTGGGAAAGCCTGGAAAAAGCCAGTGGCAAACCCATTGCTGCTGTGATGAACACGTGGACCAAACAAATGGGATTCCCACTCATTTACGTGGAAGCTGAGCAGGTAAATCCAACCTTTGGGGTCACCTCGGAGCTGCAGCTCTGCCCTGAGCTGTGCTTTAGGATCAGCTTTGGGGCATCCCCTGATCCAGGGCAGGGGTTGCTCTGTGTGCTGACAGCTCTGGTTCTGAGGGGAGGGAGGCACAGCTCCCTGCAGGAATCTGCTGCAAATCCCTGTGGAGTTATCCCAGGCTCTCCCTGCATCCCTGCAGTTTGCTGACGTTGGAGTTTGCTCTGTGTGTGTGAAACGTGTGCTGGGGGAGGGAGGCTCTGGCTTAGCTCCCCCTGCTTCTCATTCCACCTCAATTATGCTTATTCCACAAGATTGCAGGGAGAGGGAGGATCACTGGGAGCAAACTCAGCTGGGAATCAGGGCATGTGTGTTCTGACAGGAGCAGGGATTTGTGCTTTGGGATGAACCCTCAGGTGGATCCTTCTGGAGGAGGAGGAAACAAGTTACCCCGTTAAGCAGAGGGCACACACAGTGGTAACAGCAGCTGACATCAGGGGCTCTAAAAATTCCTTTCTCTCTTTTTCCTCCCTTTTTGTCTTCAGCAAGAAGATGACAGAGTGTTGAAGTTAGTGCAGAAGAAGTTCTGTGCCAGTGGACCATATACTGGTAAGATGAGCAGGAACAGGGTAGCCCTTGCTGCTCGTGCAGTGGCAGCAATTTTGGGAGGTGGAACAGCCCCAGGGCAGAGCAGGGCAGTGCCCTGAGTAATTCCCACCCTGGATCCAGGTGGGAAAACGTGAGGAATTCGAAGGTTGAAGCTCTCACACGTGTGGTTCCATGTCCTTGCATGGAGAGCAGGATTCCTCTGCACTCCCTGGCTCCCTGTCCCTTCAGGAATGTCCAGTTTGGGGCCAGTCCTGCATCTGAGGAGCTCTGGAAGCAGCTGGTTTGGAGTGGGGGCTGCAATAAAAACCCCTCATGTGGGAGCCACCTCTGATTCCACCACAGATCCCACCCCTCTTCCATGCTTATATAAATTAAAAATGTCTGCCTTCAAAGATGATTTAAACATTCTTGGCTTCTAACTCTAAAACTGTCACTCCCCTTCAGTTTTCAGTTTTGTGCCTCTGTTCCATTTAATTTGAAGCAGCCAGTGCAGAACCTGTTTGAACACCTTGTTACTCAGTGCTGTGTTTTTCCTCAGACCTTCCTTTCCACCCTTTTTCTCCTTCCAGGGGAGGATTTCCCCATGTGGATGGTGCCCATAAGTATTTGCACAAGTGATGACCCCACCTGTGCCAAAATGCAGATCCTGATGGACAAACCAGAGCTCACTGTGGTTTTGAAAGACACCAAACCAGAGCAGTGGGTGAAGGTGAGTCCTCAGCAGGGAGAACACGGCTGGGGATAGGTTTGGAGCCACTGGAATGTTCCCTTGCCTTTCATTTTCCTCTTTTTTTTTTTAAAATCTATTCCTTCCCCTTGGAATCTTGTGTTTCTTCTGTGCTGCTGTTGGATTTTGGCTCCTCTCTGGACACTTCCTTAGTGGAGCCCTTTTCCCTTCCAAAACTACTCCAGACAATGTAAACTGGGACTTTTGAGGAATCCAATTAGAGGCAGCTTTGGAGTGGAAGATGTGGTGGCTTTTTTAGTCTCCCAGGGCAACCAGAGTTTAGTTCAAGTCCATCCTGAGCAAAAATAATCCTGTTTATCTTTCATTAGTGGGAAGGATTTCTGGTGGCCACTGCCAGACAAATGTGCATGGGAAAAAAAAGCCACTGCTGAGCTCTGCTGCAGCCAAAGGGAGTCTGAGAACTGGGAGAGGGTTTAAAAACTGGGAGAGGGTTAAAAACTGGGAGGGAATTTAGAAACAGGAAATTTAAAACTGGGAGGGAATTTAAAAATTGGGAGGGAATTTAAAAACTGAGGGAATTTAAAACTGGGAGGGAATTTAAAAGCTGTGAGGAAATTTAAAACTGGGAGAGGGTTTAAAAACTGGGAGGGAATTTGAAAACGGAGGGAATTAAAAAACTGGGAGGAAATTTAAAACTGGGAGGGAGTTTAAAAACTGGGAGGGAATCTGAAAACTGGGAAGGGTTTAAAAACTAAGAGCTTAAAAACTGAGAGAATTTAAAAACTATGAGTTTAAAAACAGAGAGAATTTAAAAACTTAGAGAGAATTTAAAAACTGAGAGAGAATTTAAAACCAGAAGGGCAGCAGTGGTTGGGCCCCTTGTTGGAGGAGCTGCTGGGGGAGCTCCCTCTCCTTTCCTCTCCTCTCCTCTCCCTGTCCTTTTCTCCTTGCAAATCTTGATTTTTTCCCCTCACTTCTCGTGCTTTTATCTTTTTATTTCAATTACAACGATTCTCTTCCCTGCCCTGCAAAGCCTGGAGATGTTCCCCCTGGTCCAAACCATTAAAAAACAATAAAAAGCATCCTCTGCTGTGTTCCCTGCTGTAACGTGGGGCTGTTTGGTCCTTGCAGCTGAACCTGGGCACGGTGGGGTTTTTCCGCACGCAGTACAGCCCCGACATGCTGGAGGCTCTGATCCCGGCCATCCAGGACCTCTCCCTGCCCCCTGTGGACAGGCTGGGCCTGCAGAACGACCTCTTCTCTCTGGTGAGTGAGGAAAGCTCCAAAAACTGGGGGGTGAAGGCAGTTTTTATGGGCAAAATGCCTTTGGGGTGGCTGCATGGGATTAATTTTATTTATTGTTAGTATCGTTATTTATTGTCAATTATTTATTATCCATATTATTTGTTATCAATTATTTATTATAAATTATTTATTATCCATATTATTTATTATCCATATTATTTATTATCAGTATTATTTGTTATCCGTATTATTTGTTATCAAAATTATTTGTTATCCATATTATTTATTATCAATATTATTATCCATAATATCTATTATCCATAATATTTATTATCCATAATATTTATTATCCATAATATTTATTATCCATAATATTTATTTTATTTCCATAATATTTATATCCATATTATTTGTTATCCATATTATTTGTTATCCATATTATTTGTTATCCATATTATTTGTTATCCATATTATTTGTTATCCAAATTATTTGTTATCCATATTATTTATTATCAATATTATTATCCATAATATTTATTATCCATAATATTTATTATCGATACTATTTATTATCCATTTATTTATTATCCATAATATTTATTATCCATTTATTTATTATCCATAATATTTATTATCCATAATATTTATTATCCATAATATTTATTATCCATAATATTTGTTATCGATATTATTTATTATTCATATTATTTATGATCAATATTGTGTATTTATTATCCATATTATTTATTATCCATCATATTTATTATCCATATTATTTATTATCAATATTGTTGATTTATTAGAAGTATTGCTTATTATAAGTATTATTTATTTATTAGAAATACTATTTATTATCAGTATTGTTTATTAAAAACATTATTTATTATCAACATCATTTATTTATTAGAAATATTACTGTTTATGACAAATCTTTTATCATCACTAGTATTACATATTATAGATATTATTTATTATAAACATTGTTCTTTATTATAAACTTTGCTATTTATTTCTTAGAAATGTCACTGTTGATTTTTCCAGTGCCATAAATTACTGGGCTGGTCCCAAATTAACAAAAATCTGAGGGAGCTGATCCCAAATTAACAAAAATGTGAATTATCTGGTTGGCTATACCAGTAGGTGTTATTTTTCTGTGCTTGGAGCTGTTGATCTCCTGATTAATCAATTAATCCCAATTTTGGATCTCCTGCTGCTGTAACCCAATTAATCCAGATTTCCCTGGCAGTGCTGTGCTCACACCAATTCATGGGAAGCAAAAATGACTTTTTCATGCTCCCAATTTAACAAAAAAAGCAAAGATTAAATCTCTAAATCTCGCCAGTGTTTGGTTAAAATCACATTTTGGTGGGTGTAAAATAATAAATAAATAAAATCATAATAAAATAAATAAAATCATAATAAAATAAATAAAATCATGATAAAATAAATAAAATCATAATAAAATAAATAAAATCATGATAAAATAAAAAATAATAATAAAGAATAAAATAATAAAGATAAATAATAAATAAATAAAATCATAAAAATAAATAAAATAATAATAAAATAAAAAAATAATAATAAATGAATAAAATATAATAATGAATAAAATAATAAATAAATAAAATCAATAATAAAATAAATAAAAAATAATAATAATAAAATAATATATTAAAATGAATAAAATACTAATAAATAAATAAAATCGTAATAATTAAATGAATAAAATAATAATAAAATAAATAAAATCATCATAATAAAATGATAATAAAACAATAATAAATAAATAAAAATCATCATAATAAAATGAATAAAACATAATAAAATAAATAAAATCATCATAATAAATGAATAAAACAATAATAAAATAAATTAAATCATCATAATAAAATTATAAATAATAATAAATAACAAAAATAATAAAATAATAAAATAATAAATAAGCAACAGGCAATAAGTAAATATCCAAGGAGCTCTTCAATGCCTTAATTCTGTCTGAAAATAAGATTATTCCATGGTTTTTTCCCCCTGCCAGGCCCGAGCTGGGATCATCAGCACTGTGGAGGTTCTCAAAGTCATGGAGGCCTTTGTGAACGAGCCCAACTACACGGTGTGGAGCGACCTGAGCTGCAACCTGGGCATCCTGTCCACCCTCCTGTCCCACACCGACTTCCACGAGGACATCCAGGCCTTCGTCAGGGACGTCTTCTCCCCCATCGGGGAGAGGCTGGGCTGGGACCCCCGGCCTGGGGAGGGTGAGAACATCTGCTCTGGAATTCTGGGGGGCTGGGGAACTCCTGGGGGAGAAGGCAAGGTTTGGGGGGGATTCTGGGAAATTGGTGTCGGTAAGTCAAAGTTATGGGGGAAATCTCTGGGAAATTCGGTGGTGGTTTGGGAAATTTTGTGTCGATAATTCAAAATTTTGGAGGGGGAAATTCTGGGAAATTCAGTAGTGGTTTGGGAAATTTTGTGTTGATTATTCAAAATTTTGGAGGGGGAAATTCTGTGAAATTCAGTGGTGGCTTGGGAAATTTTGTGTTGATAATTCAAAATTTTGGAGGGGGAAATTCTGTGAAATTCAGTGGTGGCTTGGGAAATTTTGTGTTGATAATTCAGAATTTTGGGGGAATCTCTTTGGAAATCTTGTGTGTCAAGAATTCAGAATTTTGGTGGGGGAAATCTCTGTGGAATCCAGTGGTGGTTTGGGAAATTTTGTGTCGATAATTCGAAATTTTGGGGGGATCTCTTTGGAAATCTTGTGTGTCAGGAATTCAAACTTATGGGGGAAATCTCTTTGGAAATCTTGTGTGTCAAGAATTCAAAATTATGGGGGAAAATTCTGTGAAATCCAGTGGTGGGTTTGGAAATTTTGTGTTGATAATTCAAAATTTTTGGGGGGAAATCTCTTTGGAAACCTTGTGTGCCAAGAATTCAAAATTATGGGGCTGGAATCTTCCTCTCCTTTTTGTGAAAAAAAAAATCAATGTATTCCCCACCAAAAATCAACGTATTCCCCCCAGCAGGAAGGAGAGGCCTGGGCTCTGTTGTGTGTCCCAGTAATTACATTTTTTTTCCCCTCTTCCTCACTTTTAGGTCACCTAGATGCCCTTCTGAGGGGTCTGGTCTTGGGAAAACTGGGAAAAGCTGGGCACAAGGCAACGTTAGAAGAGGCCCGACGCCGGTTTAAGGACCACGTGGAAGGAAAACACATCCTGTCAGCTGACCTGAGGAGTCCTGTAGGTTACTGCACATCCTGGGGCCCCAAAACGCTGTCCCCACTCCCAAAAATAGGGAATTTCGAGGAAAAGCAGCGTGGAGGGGTGAGACCAGCTGGTTTGGGTGGAGGGGTGGGAGCTTGGCTCAGTCCAAAGCTGGGATCAGCTCCCGAAGGAAATGGTCCTGGGGAGGGTGAAATATCCCTGGATCTGCCATCCTGGGGCTTTGCTGTGGTTGGAGTTGCCAAAATGATGCTGAGATTGAGGGGGAAAAGTGAAGGAGTTGAAGCATCTCTGCAGTCCAGCCTGAAAACACCCACGGGGTCAGTGCTGGGCCTGTTCCCTGGGCTGAATTCTGACCCCAGTGTGCACAAACTGTCCCACTCCTGGCAGTTCCAAAGGCATTCCTTGGGTTTTTGCTCTGTCCTAGGTCTATGTGACGGTGTTGAAGCACGGGGACAGCTCCACTTTGGACACCATGCTGAAGGTGGGTTCCCACTCCAACCCAGACTCAACATCCCACGCCAAAGCTCCTCTGGGATGTGTTTTATCCAGGCTCGGTCCCTGCTCCCTGCCTGGTGTCAAATTGCCACCTAGTGGAGTGTCCCAGCTCTCCTTTTGGGATCCTTCCTCCCTGCTGGAGGAACACTTGACCTCCTCAACTACTTGACCTTTTTATAAACAGCGATGCAAATCAGTTTATTACCGATTTAATTTGTGCTCGTGGACACGGGGTGAGTCTGTGGGGGGGGAATAACTGCAGGGTGAGTCACCAGCCAGGTCAATTTGTCACATATTGGGCTGGAAGATTAATTGGCAGCTCTGCCATACCCAGGGAGTCCATTAGGTGAGGAGTCAGCCTTTTTTATTTTGTATTTTAACACTGTTCCCTTTGGCCCTGAAGCTCCACAAGCAGGCAGACATGCAGGAGGAGAAGAACAGAATTGAACGTGTTCTTGGAGCCATCTCTCAGCCAGAACTGATTCAAAAAGTTCTCACCTTTGCACTTTCAGTAAGTTCTTGGGAAAGCTGCTGGATAGTAGGATAATCACAATAATTAAAATAATAATCCTAATATTGGGATATTCCTTCAGGGTACTGTATAACCCCTACCTTGTGGGAGTGGCAAGTGTGTTCAGAGCACTTGGGGGTACAGCACTGTGAGGATAAAATGTGTTAAAACAGGAGAAATTATCTTCATTATTAAGTCTTTGAATTGCATCTTAAAATTCTTCTTAGGGAATTTTTGTTTTTTAGTTGACAGATTAAACCTTTGAGTCGTACCTTAAAATTTTGGGGGTAAAAAAAAAAGCTTTTATTGCCAGCTTGAGGTGTAGAAATGCACAAGGCAGGGAAGAGCACAAAGCCAACGTGCTGGATTTGTTGGAGCAGCGTGGAATATTCCTTGTTTTTTTCCCTCCCCAGGAAGAGGTACGTCCCCAGGACACGGTGTCGGTGATCGGAGGAGTTGCTGGAGGCAGCAAGCAGGGCAGGAAAGCTGCTTGGAAATTTGTAAGGGACAACTGGGAGGAACTTTATAACCGATACCAAGGGGGATTCTTAATATCCAGACTAATAAAGGTACGGGCAGGGCTGAGGAAGAGCCAGACCCAGACTGTCCTGTGGGAAGGGCTGGAGGCTCTCCCTTGGCTCACACTGGTGTTTTTTTTTCCCCTTCAGCTCACAGTGGATGGATTTGCAAATGATAAAATGGCTGCAGAAGTGAAGGTAAGAGCCATTAATTAAAGAAGTGGTTAATTAATCTGTGACAGGCCTCGTGTGCCTGTCACTGAGGGGAGAGCCAGGAGTTTCCACGTGGATTCTGGTGCTGGGCTGAGGCTCTGCCCGGTTCTGCCCCTGAGCTGCACTGCTTTGGGTTGGATCCAATATCACTGGAACTCCTTCAGTTGGCATTTTCCAAGCAATGTGCAATTCCAGTGACTTCTCTTTCCTTCTTCTGAGCTTTGATAAAACCCAGCACAGACTGGCAGCAGTTCTGAGCCTCCCTAAGTTCCACCCCAAGCTGGGGCTCATCCTCCCCACACTGACAGGGCACGTTTGGGGCTCCCTGGGGTGACAGCCAGGGGGAATTCCTGGCAGGAATTGGCTCAGTTCCACCCTCTGCTCCAAGTTTTCTGTGCTGTGTACAAGGGCAAGGCTTTGGCCTGGGCAGATCAGTGTCTTTGCAGAGTCTGTCTTGGGTTGGGGGCTCAAGGTGTTGTGATTTTGTTACACCTCCTTGTCTCGGTGGAGTTCTGAGAAGGGGTGTGGGTTTGATGATTTATTCTTTTACAAGAATGATTTCTTGGAGGAAGAAACCTAAAAATGTGGCCCTTAATTATGGCTTTCCTGGTAGGAAAAAATACTCAGGAGGAATTCTTATTCCAAAGATCAGCTGAGCCATGAGCTCACTCTGCCCTTTTTACCATGTAGTGATTTTAGGAAAGATTTAATAGCTCAAGTGATTTTACAGAGAAATCCTGCACTATGGTTAGTATTTTTTTTTTTCTCAAAAAACACTTTGCAAAACATCTACCAGAAAAATCAGCCCTAACTAAATCCCAGCTCCTTTCCCAGAGAGCTCCCTGAGCCAGCACAGCGAGCTCTGAGCGGAGCAGTTCACGTGGCTGAGCCTCCGTGTCACCTTGTGGCTACACTAGTGCCAAATCCCGGGAAAAGCTGCTTGGATGGAGGCAGGGACAGCTCCTGGCTGTGCCAGCTCCTTCTACTTCAGCCCATTGGAAAATGCAAAGTCACAGCAGCCTCTGGGAAAGCTCCTCCAGCCTCAGCTGCTGGCGGGGGATCGATGGTGTTGGTGCTGGAGGAGGAAATGTGAGACTATCCAGCAAAACTGCCTGGGCCTTTGGAGGTCGTTCCACAGCTTGGAAAGGGGCCTGGGAGGAACGCTGGGAAACCTGATCCCGGGACAAATGCTTGAGCAGAGTGGCCTCAGGATTCCCCCACGTCTCCTTCGGGTGTCCCGAAATACCCGCTGGACCTGCTGCCTGGGGGGCTGGATTCGGCTCCTCGGGGCCATGTGCTGTCCCTGCAGCAAGGACAGGACAGGACAGGAGGGGGCTGCCTCGTGGAAAAGCCATTGTGGCTTTCTTTTAGCCTGGGAATGGAGGGAATTTGCTGTTCCCACTCCGTGTTTGGGATTACACATCCTGCAGACTCAGCGAGGTTTTCGGTCTGTGCCAGCCCAGCCTCACCTCGAGCTCTGGGGGCAGTTCTGGGTGCCACGAGATAAGATGGATCTAAAGCTGTTGGAGAGTGTCCAAAGGAGGGTCCCAAGGATGGGGAAGGGCCTTGAGGGGAAGCTGAGGGTGAGGACACTTGGTTTGTTCAGCTGGAGAAGAGGAGACTGAGGGTCTGCAGCTTCCTCCTGAGGGGCAGCTCTGGCCTCTGCTCTGTGTGAGCAGGGACAGCACCCAGGGAATGGCTGGAGCTGTGTCGGGGGGGCTTAGGCTGGATTTTGGGAAAAGGTTCTTCCCCCAAAGGGTGGTTGGGCACTGAGCAGGCTCCCCAGAGCAGTGGGCACAGCAGCAAGGCTGCCAGAGCTCCAGGAGCATTTGGACAACACTCTCAGGGATTGTTGGGGTGTCTGTGCAGGACCAGTTGTATTGGTTACAGGCTGAGCTCAGTTTGTAAATATAACTCCAAAACACTTAATAACTGCCAACACTTGTTAATTGTTCCTGTTAATACTTTGTGAGCTGCCAGTGGTTTGATTCAGTAACCTCCTGCCAGGAGGGGGGAGCCAGGTGGGGGTTGATCTCTTCTCCCAGGCAACAGGACAAGAGGGCACAGCCTTGAGCTGCACCAGGGGACGTTTGGGGTGGACATCAGGAAGAAGTTCTTCACAGAAAGGGTGGTTGGGCTTTGGAATGGACTGCCCAGGGAGGTGGCAGAGTCACCTGTGTCCTTTGTTGTCATAGATGCCATCACACACTGAGGAGTAGGTAGTGTCACTGGTACATGCCAGCCATTTAGGAAGAACAGGGATGTAAGGGAATGGCTGAAGTTCTCATGCACTGTTGTAAGTGTAAAGATGAGTCATGCACGACAAGGCCTGTGAGGAGACCCTGGTTGATATGAATATCATAGCTGAGGATAAGGATTAGAATCCCTCTTGCAGACATTACAGACACACATCAGCTGAGACAGCTGCTTAAGGTGGGACTGGATGTGGCATCAGTGCCA